ACCTCCTCCTACTTAATAAATTCAAAAGCTCTTAGTCCTCCTTTTCTTGACTTCTCTGTAATATTCAACACCACCACACCATGCACCATGAAGATACTCCAGAGACAAAGGACATCAAGGCCCTGTGGTATTCAACAAAGAGCTGATCACAGCTCTTTCAACCTCTCTTCAGAGATTGCACTGCTTCCTCTCCTCCACTGGATTAATTCCTAATCTTAATTAATTCCACCTCTAAATGTGGGTGAACAGCTAGGTGGCGAAGTAGATAGAACACCAGGCTTGGAGTCAGGAAGACTTGATCTTTTTGAGTTCAAATCCAGCCTCAGATACTTACTGACCTTGGGCAAGTCCCTTAACCCTATTTAACTCAGTTTCCTCCTCTGCAACATGAGCTGTAAATGGCAAATCACTCCAGTATCTTTGCTAAGAAAACCCCAAATGGGGTCACGAAGAATTGGACATGATTGGAAACGACTGTACAACAACAAAAATGTGGGTGTAAACCAAGGCTCAATTCTCAACCATCTGCCTTCAAACTCTACACTTTTAGACCATATCTATTATGATGGCTTCAACTACCATCACTATATAGAATCACAAATCCTTAGAATTGAAAAGTACTAAAAGATTCATGATGGAAAATGCTATCCACATCCAGAGAAAGAACCATGGAGTCTGAATGCAGATTGAAGCACACTATTTTCTCTCTCTCTCTTTTTTTGTTTCTTCTTTCTCATGGTTTTTCCTTATGATTGTACATGTATAGCCAATATCAGATTGCATGCCATCTTGGGGAAGGAAGAGTGGAGGTGGGGAGAGAAAATTTAGAACTCAAAATCTTATAGAAATGAATATTGAAAAAGAAAAACAAATAAAATTATATTAAAAAAAGAATTGGAAAGGACGTCTGAAAGAATCTAATTAAACTTCTGAAGCAGAAGATTTGAAGTAGAATTCTCACTTGTAACAACTACCAACAAGTCTCCATTTATAGACCAAGAGTATAGAGGAATCTTAGCTGAAAAAACTTTCTCTCAACCCTGTTACCTCCTGAAACAGAAAATTCCATTTGTGGACAATACTTTTAGGAAGTTGTTCATCAAGCCAAAATCTTCATCTCTCCAACTTTCCAATTCTTTTCCTAACTCTGTCCTGAGGGGTCAAACAAATCAATTCTAATCCTTCTTCCACTAAACAATTCTTCAACTACAGTAAGAGAACTGGTTGAACTAGGTGATCTCAAAGATCCCTTTCAGCTCTAAAATGATTATGCTTTGTGGTCTCCCCCCCCCCCCCCCCCCCCCCCCCCCCCCCCTCATCTCTCTGAGTTAATCATCCTCAGTTCCTTCAACCAATTCTTCTCTGACCTGATCTCCAGTCTGATTCACTATCCTAATCCCTTCTCTGGACACACTCCAGTTTTTCAACATCTTTCCTAAAATGTCAAATATGATACTTTGAATGTGGTCTGACCAGAACAGAGTATATACCTCTCATTCTAAATATTAGGTCCTTCAATGTAGCCTAAGATGATACTGGCTTTTTTTTTTTTTGGCTTCCAAGTCAGAATGTTAACTCATACTGAACTTATATTCTACTAAAACATCCAAATCCTTTTTCAAACAAACTGTCATCTAGCCACAGTTCCCCTATCCTATACTTGTAAAGATGATTAAAAAAAAAAAACCATAAGTGAAAGATTTCACATGTATCCCTATAAAATGTCACCATATTATATTCAGCCCATTACTCTAATATATCAAGATCTTTTTAGATCATATGTCTGTGGTTCAATGTGTTGCCTATCCCTCCTAATATTGTATCACTTGTAAATCTGACAATCATACTGGGTAAACCTTCAACTAAGTCATTGATAAAAATTATAAAAATTATAAAAAGCAGAGGGGCAAATAAAGAGCCCCTAGAAAACTCCCTTCCAAGCTGATCTGCAGCCATTAATGACTATTCTATAAACCCAAACAACTGCTTTTGAATTTTCCTATTTATATCATCTAGCTCAGATCTTGAGGATAGCATGAGAAATTATGAAATCCTTTACTAAACTTGAGATATGCTATGTCTGTGGAATTCCACAATCAATAGTATTAATTTAATAATCCTGTCAAAAGAGAAGGAGGTTAGTCTGGTACAACTTGTTCTTGATAAAGCTTTGTAGCTACTATAAGATCAAGGGGTTTATACTGATTATACTGATTTAAACTGATTGTTTCCTTTTCTCAATGTTCCCCAACCATCCCTTTAGATTCCAGAATTATGTCAAACTCAAAGTCAAATTCACTGACTTATGAATTTGCAGACTCTATTTTCCTTCCCCTTTTGAAAATCAGAGTACATGGACCAGCCAGGATAGCACAGTGGAACTGGGTAGTGCAAACTGGCTCCCTCATAGAGCTCTAAGTCTGTCACTCTGATCTGGGGGGAAGTGAAAAGGCGGGGTCCAGACCTTGATTTCCTCAGCCACACAAGGAACAGGACTTCGGCACAGTAGTTACTTCAATCTCCACAGAAGAATCTGAGACTCAGCTCCCAGGAAAGGAACAGAACCTCAGAAGGTCAAATCCTGGGAGGCTGAAAATTACACTTTTTATGGCTCTGGAAGTTGCTTAAGATATGACCTTAAATTTATATGTAGGTCATATATCCATTTAGAACTAATCTTGGCATACAGTGTGAGATACTGGTCTGAAGTTTAGACCTAGGTCCTTGGTGCTGCCTCTTGACTGAGTCCAAGTTTTACAGAACAAATCCTTTTATTAAGGGGACTTGTTCTGTGAAGTTTGGATTCTGTCAAGGGACCACACTTGAGGACCTAAGAGTCACATGTGGCCTCAAGGCCACAGGTTCCCCACCCCCTAACTTCTGCTAGACTGCTATCCAATTTGCCTCATAGTTTTTATCAAATAGTCATCCTGACCACAGTAGCTGGGGTCTTGGGGTTTTTGAACACTAAACTATTAGGTTCACTTGCTTCTGTATACTGTCTATCTAACCCTAATTCCACTGATTAACCTCTTTACATATATCTTCTCTATGGCCCGGGAACATACCATTATATTCATGTACAATAGTTTGTTTAGCTCTTCCTCAATTATTGGACACCTATTTTCCCCCCTAATTCTTTGCTACCATTAAAAGTGCTCATATAATTATTTTTCTTGACTATAATGGAAGGCTTTTCTTCATGTCTTTAAACTCCGTGGAGTATATTACTATCAGTAGGATCTCTAAGTCAAAGGGTGTGGACATTTTGGTTACTTTTGGCATAATTCCCAACGCTTTCCAGAATGGCTGGACCAATTCACAACTTCATCCACAGTGTCTGTCTTTTAAAACCTACCCAATAGGGTTCAGCTGATGTCACAGTGACCAATGCATTCCAACAGATTAAAGCACTGAATATCGAGATTTCAAAGTTCATTTAGTCCAATCCATACCTAAATAGTAATTCACTATCCCATATATTTTAGTGATCTCTTGGGATTTTGTCTTTGTATTCCCACAGCCGTGAATTACACATGCCAGGCACTTAATGAAATGCTCTCAGACTGATCAACAATGTAATATTTGCATGAACACCTCCAGCAAAAGGGAATTAATTCATTACCTCCTGAGATAACCCAGTCTATTAGCAACGCTAATTGTTGGGAAAAGTCTTTCTAACCTTAGGCCTAAATCTGACATCAAACCTCAATTTGCTTATTTGCAAGTTCAACCCACAGATCTTAGTTCCTTGCCAAGTTTAGAATGCCAAATCTAATCACTCTTCTACGTCCTTCAAATCTTTAAGTATCATGTTTCACCTAACTCATCTTGTTTTCCTCAGGCTAAAATTGGAAGCCTTATACTGTATGGGCTGCTCTCCTTCCCAAAACCAAACACTCCAAAGAACCACCCCTCCCTTCTCCTAGACACCATGTCTCTCCTATGGCAGTCATAAACTCTAATGCAAGATTAAACCATAATATCGCAGTGTTGACTCATTGAGCCTGCAGTCCACTAAAACTCTCAGATTGTATTTTCTGAGCAATTATTTTCTGTACCCATCACCTCTACCTTGTATTTGTAAAGTTGTATATTGTGTTATGAATGGCAAACACTCTATTCCAGAGCCATAACAGGATGCAATTTTCAGCAGCACTTCAGGTCAGGCAGGTTTAAAATTAACACATCCCCTACAGAATCCTACTCAACTAATCCAACAATAAACTTTCAACTAAACGTGAAATCCACGCAATCAAATTTAACAAGTGCAGATCACGTGCAAGAAAACCTGCTCTAGAGCCTGAGAATACCAAGACAAAATCGAAAAACAGTCAGTCCCTGCCCTCACGTAACTTACAACTTCAACAGGGGAGGGAGAAGTGAGAAAACTTTCCATTTCCAAAAGAATGTAAGTTCCCACTGGGCAGACTTTCAATTTTGTCTTTGTATCTCCAGTATCGCCCACAGTGCCAGAATGCGCCCAATTAAATCTTCAAAAAAAAAAAAAAAATTGCTTGTTGAATGAATATGCTAGCTTGAAGAGGAAGGAGCCTTCACAACTAAGGGGATTGGGCAAGGGCTTCCTGCAGCAGATGATGACACCGGAGCTTGAGCCTGGAAGGACTGTAGGGAGCAAGAGGGACGGGAGGGCGGGAGGGCAGAGGCGCCGCACGAGCTAACGACGCCCAGATGCCAGACGCCAGGCCCTGCCTGCTCTCTGTCCTCCAGGTCGGGGCCGGGTGAAGGTGCCCGGTGCGTGCACTTCTCTTTCCGGCTGGCCACTCTTCCGCGTCTGGGCAGCCCTGGACAGTAGCGGCCCTGACGGCCGGCCAGCCCACGTCCCCGCACGCCCCAGAATGGGCTTCAGCAGAAGCCGGGTTTCCAAGGCCCGTTTCCACGAACGCTGAGGCCGCTCGGCTCCGTGTTTAGGAACATCGGCGATCACGCTCGCTCCCGCGGATAACCCGCCCGCTCCCCGGCCCCGCGCGCCCACTCACCTGAGCGGGTGACGCCGCCAGCGGCGCGGCGACACCAACTTTGCCCAGGCGAGCGCCCGTTATTCGGGGCCCGCGGCCGTGCGGGGTCGGAGTCCCGGGAGCGAGGGCGCGGCGGGCGGAGAAGGGTTCATGTTAGAGCTTCCCGGCCGCTGGGAAGGGGGTCCCCCCAACTGCCGCCGCCGCCGCCATCTTCGTCGCCCCCGTGGGCACTTGACAGCTCTGACCTCCGCCCTGCCGGCGGACTTGCGACAGATGGCAGGATAGTTGCCCAGGGAGGAGTGGGCGAGATAAGGAAGCCGCGAGGGGTCACAACCTCGAGGGCGAAGAGGCAGCTACGGGAGGCGTCTCTCCCGTCGCCTTAGTAATGCGTGCCTTGAGGTTCCATTCTCATTGGCTGGGGAGGAGAGTGACGCAAGACGACCCTTTTAATGCGGGATTGCCCAGGTTCCCAGCACGGGGGCACTTTCCTGAGCCCGGCTTTTGTGAGTGGGCGGGGTCTCTTAAAGGGACCGAGTGTATTTCCTTTCCTCCAGCTATAGACTGGAAACCTCTTTGAGGGCCAAGGAAGCTGTCACCTTGATGGAAGCTTCGTGGACATTGAAAAAGGGCACACGTGGTTTTTCATTCACGCTTGACTCCTCATGACCCTACTGATCATGCTGTCCATGGGGTTTTCTTAGCAAACATACTGGAATGGTTTGCCATTTTCTACTCGTCGTTAATGACGACTATTAAGTGTCTGAGGCTGGATTTGAATTCAGGTCTTCCTCACTCCAGGCCCAGCATTCTGTCCACTGTGGCTGCCCTGGGAACACATATACACACATATTACATACACACATACACAGAGCACACAGCACACAACACACATATATTCTGTCTGGAGAGAGAGAGACAGAAAAAACAGAGAGACAGAGGGAGAGCTTCAGTCTCCAGCTTCAGAAGAGACAAGGTTTGAAATCATAGCCTCCACATGGACTGCAGGCATCTGTGATGTCAAGGAAAAGGACAATAATCGTAAATTTATAGCTGGAAGTGTTAGCTTCAGTTGTGTCCAACTCCTAGTGATCGCATTTGGGGTTTTCTTTCTTTCTTTCTTTTTTTTGTTAGGCAATGGGGTTAAGTGATTTGTCCAGAGTCACGCAGCTAGTAAGTGTTATGTGTCTGAGGCCGGATTTGAACTCAGGTCCTCCTGAATCCAGAACCGGTGCTCTATCCACTGCACCACCTCTCTACCCCTGGGGTTTTCTTGGAAAAGATCCTGGAGTGGTTTGCCATTTCCTTCTCCACCTCGTTTTACAGAGGAGGAAACAGAGTCAAACAGGGTTACTTACTCAGGGTCACACAGCTAGTAAGCATCTAAGGCAGAATTTTAACGCAGGTCTTCCTTACTCCAGGCCCAGCTCTCTGTCCGATGTGTCACCAATCTTCCTTAAGGGAAAAAAGGCAGAAGTCATTTAGTCTGACTCATTTTACAGATTAGAAAGTGGAGGACTGGAAAGGTCAAATGATTTGCCCAAGGTCACCAGGTAGAAAGAAGCAGAGTCAGGCTGAGAAAAGGACTCAGTCCAGGACTCTTTCCACTGTACCAGATTGGGAATCAAGAGGTCTGGCTTCCAGCACTAGCTCTGCCACTAACTGAATGGCCTTGGTCAAATCTCTTTATCTATTTATTCAGACTTCTGTAAAATGATAGAGTTCAGTCAAATTCAGTTCAATAAACATGTATTAAGTATCGACTATGGGCAAGATACTGTAAAAAGTATTAGAATTTCTATAGCCCTATACAGATTAAAAGGCGGTGTGTCCCCACAACCACCCTATGAGGTGAGTAGTACATATATTATCATCCCAATTTTTCAGAGGAGACAGGCTCAGAGAGCCTTAAGTTACTTGCCAGAGGCAGATTTTAAGAACAGGTTTCTCAGCATAGCACTGTTTCCACAGGAACTACCAGCCTCTCTGGAGGGTGGTGAAGTGACTAGAGTGCTGAGCCTTAAGTCAGGAAGACTTGACTTCAAATTCGACCTCAGATGCTTGTAACTGTGTGACCCTAGGCATGTCACTTAACCTTTGTTTGCCTCAGTTTCCCCATGTGTAAAATGGGGATATAATAGCACCTATGTCCCAGTGTTATTGTGCAGATCCAAAGAGGAAATGATTTTAAAGCACTTAGCACAATGCCTGGAATGTAGCAAGCACTATATAAATGTTAGCTATTATTATTATTCTCTGAGCTTTAAAGCCATACCAGGCAATATCTGTGACCTAGATTCTGTGATCTATATGGCCAACTTATGACAGTGCCCAGTCCCTCTGCTTATTACAGGGTAAGAGTGAAATGTCCTATGCCATTTCTCTAAGCAATTTTCAGCCAGGTTCCACAGGAGCATTTGGTTCAGATGTCTAGTAATATTATACCTCTGACATACACGTACTGGCTGTGTGAAGACCCCTTCCCCCAACTCCCAAGTCTCTTAACTTCTCAAAACCTAGCTCTGCTATTCATTGTATGACTTAGACAAGTCAATCTCTCTGAGCCTCAGTTACCTTATCTGTAAAAGGAGGGGGTGGGAGTGCATGGCCTCTAAGACACCTTCAGACTCTAAATCTATGATTCTATGATCACATTCAATCATTGTACAACAATACAACATATAGCCCTTTAATATAGTTCTATGGTGCAGGGGAAACAATATTACCAGGAGCATTTGGTTCTATGGTTATCAATAGGCTGTAATCCTAAAAGGGTACAACAGGGTTCCTCGAAGTCAAAGTGAGGCCTAGTTGTAGGAACTTTACTATGAAGCATTGGTCAGGACATAAAATATTGAAGTTTTTGAGCAGAGGAGTGAGGCAACAAAAATGTCAACAAAATTGAACTAACAAAATGTATTTAGCATCTAGTATGTGTAAGGAAGGCCCTGTGCTAGGGGCTATAAGAGATATGAAAGAAAATTAGGGGGTGGAGCCAAGATGGCAGAGTAAAAGCAGTGACTTGCTTGAGCTCTCCCCCAAACCCCTCCAAATACCTATAAAAAAAAGGCTCTAAACAAATTCTAAAGCAGCAGGACCCACAAAAAGACAGAGTGAAACAAATTTCCAGACCAAGACAACCTGGATGGTTGATTGGAAAGGTCTATTGTGCCAGGCTGGGAAAGGAGACAGTTTAGCATAAGCTACGCCAGCAAAGACCAGGCCTCAGAGATCTTGGAGCAGGCCCCAGGGGACTGAATCATGGGCAGCTGTGGCGGTTTTCAGACTTCTCAATCCACAAACACCAAAGACAACTTAGAAGGTCAATAGGAAAGGTCTGTCGACTGTGGTGAGAGAGGAGCTCAGTCCAGCCCCAGTCCTGGCGCAGCCCTGGGGTGGTGGCTACATCCAGAGCTCTTGACCCACAGACAGAGAGGGGATCAAGTGGCTGATCAGAGGGAGATTGCAGGGATCTCTTTGCTGGCACTGAGGCAGGATTCTCTTGCTTTGCCTGTGCTTGGATCTGGGTCACAGTTCTGAGTGGCAGTCCTGGGGTGAGGAGGAACATTGGCATGGTGGAGCTTATGGTGACAGTGGAGAGGGAATCCTCCTCACAGTTCCAAGGCAGAAAAGAGAGCTTGTGGTCACTCATAGACCAAAGCACAGGCCAGGAAAGGAGTAAACACCTCGCCCATTATCATACCCCCTTGGAAGAACTGAAAATTTACAGGTCCTTAGAAGTATCTCTGAATACAGCTGCACAAAACCCCCAAAGCTTGGGACAGTACATTCTCCACACTAGAAGCAGACCCCTACCTTAACAAAGAGTTTATAATTCAAGGATCATGGCAAGGATCATGATTAAAGCTCAAAAAATAGTCAGACCATAGAATCTTACTTTGGTGACAAAGAAGATCAAAACATACAACCAGAAGAAAACAACAAAGTCAAAGTTCCTACATCCTAAGCCTCCAAGGAAAATATGAATCAGTCCCAGGCTTTGGAAGAGCTCAAAAAGGATTTTGAGAAGTAAGTAAGAGAAGTAGAGGAAAAACTGGGAAGAGAAATGAGAATCATTGAAAATCATGAAAATCATGAAAAACTTGTCAAAGCTTGCTAAAGGAGGCCCAAAAAAATACTGAAGAAAATAACACCTTAAAAAATAGCCTTGGGGCAGCTAGGTGGCACAGTAGATAGAGCACCGGCCCTGGATTCAGGAGGAACTGAGTTCAAATTCAGCCTCAGACACATAACACTTAACTAGCTGTGTGACCCTGGGCAAGTCACTTAACCCCGATTGCCTCACCAAAAAAAAAAAAATAGCCTAACCCAAATGGCAAAAGAGGTCCAAAAAGCCAATGAAAAGAAGAATGCCTTAAAAAGCTTAATTGACCAAATGGAAAAGTCCAAAAACTCACTGAAGAAAATACTTCCTTAAAAATTAGAATAGAGCAAATGGAAGCTAATGACTTTATGAGAAATCAAGACATTGTAAAACAAAACCAAAAGAATTAAAAAATAGAAGACAATGTGAAATATCTCATTGAAAAACAACTGATCTGGAAAATAGATACAGGAGAGATGATTTAAAAGTTATTGGACTACTTGAAAGCCATGACCAAAAAAAGAACCTAGATTTCATCTTTCAAGAAATTATCAAGGAAAACTGCCCTGATATTCTAGAACCACAGGGTAAAAGAGAAATAGAAAGAATCTATCAATCACCTCCTGAAAGAGACCCCCAAAGGAAAACTCCTAGGAATATTATAACCAAATTTCAGAGTTCCCAGGTCAAGGAGAAAACATTGCAAGCAGCCAGAAAGAAACAATTTAAATATTGTGGAAACACAATCAGAATAACACAATATTTAGCAACTTCTACATTAAGGGACTAGAGGGCTTGGAATATGATATTCCAGGGGTCAAAGGGGATAGGATTACAACCAAGAATCTCCTACCCAACAAAAGTGAATATAATCCTTCAGAGGGAAAAAATGGACATTCAGTGAAATAGAAGACTTTCAAGCATTCTTGATGAAAAGACCAGAGCTGAATAGAAAATTTGACTTTCAAATACAAGACTCAAGTGGAACATGAAGAGGTAAACAAGAAAGAGAAATCATAAGGGACTTATTAAGGTTGAACTGTTTACATTCCTGCACAGAAAGATGATATTTGTAATTCATGAGACCTTTGTCAGTATTAGGGTAGTTGGAGGGGAAAAAAAATCATATGTATAGATTGATAGATAGAGGGCACAGGGTGAGTTGAAGATGAATAGGTGATATCTGGAGAATAAAATTAAGGGGTGAGAGAAGATTATACTGAGAGAAGGAGAAAGGGAGAGGTAGAATGGGGTATTATCTTACATAAAACAGATAAGAAAAAACTTTTATAGGAGAAG